ATGGGTAAGGTAACGTTACAGCTAGAAAGTAAGTTAGCTATACATAATATCGACCAACTACTGTTTTTAAACCATGGAAAGAGGTCAATATAACAGCAGGAGAACAATTATGTCACATAACGTTACATTCAGCTCAGGAAAGCCATTTAATGACCATAGCATGTTAAATTGAATAGAAAAAATAACAAGAGAGGAGATTTTGCTGATCACTATATCACATATTTATTATATATTTTTTACTCATGTCATTAAATAATTGTTATTATACGCGAATGTCCGCGTCTTGTACTCGCCCAGGAAATCTGTAAACCGTACGGCACCAGACAGGGGCAGTCGACCCGGGGTATTCACAATGTTTTCTCTTCAAAATTGAAATTTTACTGCCACCATTAAAACAATTTATAACGGAAACTGTTTACCCACTCGACATTATACAAGGGGTAACGTTGTAACGTTAGTGACAGTCGTAAATCGCGAGCTGTTTATTCCAGTGGACGCAAGTTGCAACTAAAACAATAGAAGGCAATGGCGCAACGCTACCCAGCAACAGCTCAGTAATGGCGCCCGCTTACTTCCGGTAGTTTCGCCGGATTCGTCTATATGTGCATTATGAATGTGCATAACAATGCAGCATTATGGGTATTCTCAATCTGTTATTGCGGTGCATTGTGGGATTGAATGAGTGCACTCAAAAACGTCCACTATGGTTTCAGACACCACTACGAATGGCTGTTTCCTCAAATAGTGCCCTATTTAAGGGTGATTTCAGACGGTGATTATGACTCAATCCAGAGTTTATTTTTATTCAGCTCATCATTACAGATTATCTGACATATTGATTGAGTCAATAAGGAGGATGGAGGAAGGACTTTATCATCTTCACACACACAGACAGCTTAAACGGTAAAACAAACACAGCATGTGAGGCCAGTAATAATGAGCACACACTTCAGTCCAGGCTGATCCTCCAGCAGTGCTTGCGCTAAAATCACTTCTTATACACTTCATTTTGCAACGTGGAAGTGAGAAATTTTCAGAGAATTCATCCGCAGCTACAGGAAAACAGTGAGACGATTTACAAAGTGCAGGAAAATAGTAAAACTCATTGGACTACACACCAGTGAGTTTATGATTATGATAATACATTAAAATAATATGACAATAACTAGCATTTTGCAAAATCAAGCAGCATAACGCTAATGATACCGGAAGACTCATACATTTACATTACAAACTGTGCCCGATCTTACCCTAAAATATGAGGTGGATAACGTTACAAGACTGTATATATGGCAATCGTTACTAATAAATCGACTGTGTGTGTGTGTGTGTGTGTGTGTGTGTGTTGAACTCAGTCCCTTCAGAGCAGCTGATGCCCAGCCAAACAAATCTTAGTATAGTAAAATATCTCTCAGCTCTCTGTGGTTTCACACTTCTGCAATGTTACGGTTACAAGAGAAAACGACTCGGCTGCTAACGTAACCTCGGTTCCCTGAGATAAAGGAACGAGACTTTCGTAGCTATACGCTGTGGGGAAAACTCCTTTTTCTCTGAATACTGAAGCCTTTTGTATAATAACGCAGCCATAACAGTGCAGAGACTACTCACACGCTATTGGCTGGTAACCATTAATATTTTACTATGGTATGAGGAACCAATCCAATCACGCCGTGCTGTGTTACGAGTAACGACATTAGGGCTGTTGGAACGAATTCCGAAATTCGAATGTAATTCAAATATTTAAAAAATCAATACTATTCGAATGCTGGAGTTACTATTCGAATATTGCTTTTATATATATTTAAAAAATATATATCTATATATGCAATCTTTCTCATGGCTTACACGCATTTGAAAATGACATGTTTTTGTTTCGTCTAATGAACAATAAAGTTTTTGAATTGTAACACACGTTATTGTGCACGTTATCCAAGCTGTTAGGCTATCATCAGGGTTTCCTATACAGACATCCGGGAACATCCGGGAGTCTCCCGCGTATTGATAGCGTCTCCCTGATGCCCGCAAATTAGTTAAAATCTCCCGGAATCTAGAGCGAGAAAGAACATACTGCGGCGCGTGCATGGCAGAGAGGGAGAGAACGAGACCTTGCGACAGAGTTGTAGTACTCGAGACTCGGACTCGGTCTCGAGACCATATTTTAATGGTCTTGGTCTTGTCATGGACTCGTGTGCATTTGGACTCGGAATTGACTCGTACTCGAACATTTTTTTTTTTAGGACTCGGAATTATTCCCGAGTCCACTCGAGTTCAATTCAAAATATTTTCATGATTATTAATGCATGTTAAAATATTTCTTTAAATTGATTGACACGCCCAGTGATTGGTGATTTTCTAGTGCGCAACTGCGCATGACAAATTGTAATAAAATTACTTTTAACACCACCTACTATGTGGCCTTTTTACCCTAAACTGATCATATTTGTTAACCTCTAAGTAAATTTAGTAAAAAAAAAAAAAAAAAAAGGATTTCTCTAAGTAAATAAAAGTAAATTAGGTAATAACCCTCACTGGTCTCGGTCTCGACTTGGACTCGACCGTCTCTGGTCTCGGACTCGACTCGGACTCGACTCTCTATGGACTCGGTCTTGACTCGGACTCGACTCTCTCTGGTCTCGGTGTCGACTCGGACTCGAGTGAGGTGGTTTCGACTACAACACTGCCTTGCGAGTCTGTGCCGCGCGAAAGCCAGTCCTGTGCGCTCTCTCTCCCTATTCAGACTGATCTCACGAAATGGCTCAATATGCGTATAGATAACATGCCACTTGACTTGAAAGTGGCGTGTATGTTGACGCAAAAGTCTTGATCATGTTGCCCTTTGGAACACCGCTGCACAAATCAGTCCAACACAGCGCTGTCAATGTCGGAGAACCAGCTTTAAAAAAGTTATTAGCCAGCATGCAAGGAGCCTATCTAATAAGGTGAGCTAAGTTATTATTAGAATACAGCTGTATTTTCGAGGTTAGCACGCTGTATAGCTGGTAGTTAATATCGATGGACACGCTTTTGTTCCGCCTTTTTAACTGTTAATAAGAAAGCGATCTAAATGTTTATTGTAGTAATGTGGCAAAACGTGTAACAACAACCACAAGCTATAGTGGCATTGGCGATCCATACTGTATGTGTAATGTCGTAAATATTAATAATAAAATGAATTTGAGCATTTAATACTCGAATTTTATTCGAATATTACATAAAATATGGAATGGAATTCGAATAGTATTAAAGAGGAATATTGACAGCCCTAAACGACATGTTCTATGACCCAAGTTGGGACGCTTGTACAAGGGTCCAAAGTCTGACATGACGCCTTGATCCTAAGACCCCAAGACCCTAATGATGATGGCCTGGCTAGTGTAGAGGCCGGCTCAGTCGTAAGGAAAGGATGTGTGCAGGGACTTCTAAACATATAAGATAAGGGAAGATGTAAAATCTGGCGAAGGTAGACGGCGAGACCCAGCCGGCCATAAATATATCACCAATGGATCCTCCACTAGACCATGCCCAGGAGGAGGCCATGCGCTCTGACGCCTATGGGGCATTCCTGGCCCAAAGAAGCGTATGCTAGAGCAATAGTGTCCACCAGCCATCGGAATAATCTTTGCTTCGTGATCGGGAGCCCTTTGGTGCGGCCACCGAAGCTTAGAAAGAGCTGCTCCGACTGTCTAGAGTTGCATATAAGTTCTCAGAGCCCGAACTGGGCAGAGGTGTAGGCGTAATTGTTGCTCGTCTTCCGATGTGGGAAGAGGAGAATCTGTAATTACCTGTGCTTTGAACAGGGTTGAAAGCACTTTGGGCATGTAGCCGTGTTTTGATTTGAGGATGACTTTAGAGTCGCCCGGACCAACCTCCAGACAGGAAGCGCTGACAGAGAGCGATTGTAGGTCCCCCACTCGCTTGACTGATGCTAAGACAGAGAGTGTCCAATGACAGAGAGTCATCGTGAGGGTCCTCCTCGGATCCGCCGAACGAGGTGAGGACGCTCGCTTCACACGAGAACAGCACAGGTCTTAGCTGGCGTGAGCTCACTAGTCTCCGTATACTCAGCCCTCTGACTCCGCCGTTTTTCCTTCGAGGCTCGTGGGGAAAAGGAAACAGGAGAGCGCGAGCAGTGGAGAAGAGAGATGAGAGCGGCATACTCTCCCAGAGAGAGCAGCTCATCTCAGTCAGAGCGGCGTCCGTGTGGGACACACTCGGCGAAGAAGGCGAAGGCTTGCCGTTGAGCAGTTCTGCAAGGTCTCTAGATCATCGCTGAATGGATACCCGCCCAATCTGGCGGGCTCTGCGCTTTGTACCAATTGGTTCGAGCAGTTACGGCGCTCTGCCATAGATTCGTCCAGTTACCACTGACCAGCCAATAGCGTGCGAGTTGTCTCTGCACTGTTAACAAAAGGCTTCAGTATTCGGAGAAAAGGGAGTTTTCCCCATGGCATAGAGCTAAGCAATACGCCTGACTGTTTGAAAGGGAACTAACATATAATTCTCGATATTGGTTGCCACAGGCATGCCCTATATTTATCCATCGAACACCTTCATGAAATTCCTCTCTCATTCCTTCACAAAACAGTCTCACTCACTCCAACAGCCAATTTCCACAAAACCTATTAATAATAACAATCATGTTCAGTAGAGATACTACATTCTCTACTACATACACTCAAAATATGTCAGTATTAGCATTTAATAGCTGAATTGTGTGATGAAAATTGCATTAGCCATCATTATGCTGTAGAGACAATTCAACCAATCAGAGATTCGCCAAATCACGCCAAAAGAGCTAACGTCCTCAGAACGTTCTGCCAAGGTTTCTGAAGTGTTAAATAGTTAGCTTTATCTTATATTTAGCTTAACTTTTTTCAGTCATAAACATTAACAGACAAATGACTTGTGAAAATCGGACCGAACGTTCAGTTGACGTGAACGGTCCTTACTTGTCCACACATTGTAACACAGCAGAAGAGTGTAATGGTCTGGTTACTCACGGATATGTGGAATGTCTGCTGGGAGTCGTCCAGTAGCAGGACCCTGAGGGGCATCAGGCGTCCCGGAGGCATGGCAGGGGGCTTGTGTCCGGGCTCCAGGGTGCTGATGCCCAGAGTCTCTGGGGCCCCTAACCTCTGCCCCGCCAGCGACGTCTGACCCTGCTCCACCATGGTCTTCCTCACTCAGCCTGCACACACACACACACACACCACAGTCTGACTTACAATGATCATCAGCAGCGTAGGGGCCAAATGTCCCCACAACAAGGATACTAATACTGGCTTAAAGTTTCAATTCCATTATTCTATAAGATTTATAATTTTCTTATGCAGTCTCCTACAGCATGTTTACATATATCTCAGGTCAAAAAACAATTTAATTTTCTCATAATACACATTACATCATCTGCTCTTTTCTCACAGTGTCCGAAACAGTTCGATAAAGGTTTCTGTCGCTCTAAACCCCGCCTCTTTCAGAGCTGCTCTAATCTGATTGGTCAGATGGCCCAGTCTGTTGTGATTGGTCTACTCTGCTCTGATTGGTCAGATGGCCCAGTCTGTTGTGATTGGCCTACTCTGCTCTGATTGGTCAGATGACCCAGTCTGTGATTGGTCTACTCTGCTCTGATTGGTCAGACGGCCCATTGTGTTGTGATTGGTCTACGCTGTTCTGATTGGTCAGATGACCCAGTCTGTTGTGATTGGTCTACGCTGTTCTGATTGGTCAGATGGTCCAGTCTGTTGTGATTGGTCTGCTCTGCTCTGATTGGTCAGATGGCCCAGTCTGTTATGATTGGTCTACTCTGCTCTGATTGGTCAGATGACCCAGTCTGTTGTAGTTGGTTTATTTTGCTCTGATTGGTCAGATGGCCCAGTCTGTTGTGATTGGTCTACTCTGCTCTGATTGGTCAGATGACCCAGTCTGTTGTAGTTGGTTTATTTTGCTCTGATTGGTCAGATGGCCCAGTCTGTTGTGATTGGTCTACTCTGCTCTGATTGGTCAGATGGCCCAGTCTGTTGTGATTGGTCTACTCTGCTCTGATTGGTCAGACGGCCCATTGTGTTGTGATTGGTCTACTCTGCTCTGATTGGTCAGATGACCCAGTCTGTTGTGATTGGTCTACGCTGTTCTGATTGGTCAGATGACCCAGTCTGTTGTGATTGGTCTACGCTGTTCTGATTGGTCAGATGGCCCAGTCTGTTGTGATTGGTCTGCTCTGCTCTAATTGGTCAGATGGCCCAGTCTGTTGTGATTGGTCTACTCTGCTCTGATTGGTCAGATGACCCAGTCTGTTGTAGTTAGTTTATTTTGCTCTGATTGGTCAGATGGCCCAGTCTGTTGTGATTGGTCTACTCTGCTCTGATTGGTCAGATGACCCAGTCTGTTGTAGTTGGTTTATTTTGCTCTGATTGGTCAGATGGCCCAGTCTGTTGTGATTGGTCTACTCTGCTCTGATTGGTCAGATGACCCAGTCTGTTGTGATTGGTTTATTTTGCTCTGATTGGTCAAATGACCCAGTCTGTTGTGATTGATCTTCTCTGCTCTGATTGGTCAGATGAAACTTTGCAGAGCTTTTACATTCACAAGCAGCTAGATTACATACTAAATGAAAGGTAATATATGAGAAACCATAATGAAAATGTTTAAATTAAGAGGTTGTGTATTTATAGTGATGTTTCCCGACATATCAGTCATGTATAGGTTACACTAGTCGATTTGGCCTGATGTTATAGTGCTCTCTTCAGACAATGAGCCTACAGTTGTACAGAGATCCAGCTTGTCATATCTCTCCTTCTCTGCATGTTCACGGTTTATCACACATGCCAGAGCACTGATGTCATCATTTCTAATCCAGGGGTCAACGTGAGAAAAAGAGGGGAGGAAACAAGACAGGAAGAGAGAACATGAGCAGCTGAGAGAGTTAGAGAGAAGTCAGAAACAAACACTGATCTCTGTGGATCAGATGAGCATCTGACTGGATCTCCTCATTCGCAATTACATTTATCTAAGTCATCTTCAAAACAGCCTTGCAAACGCTCAGTATTCACTGGTTTGTGCTCATATATTCCAGACAAAAAAAAAAGAAAGAAAAAGAAATTGGATTCTAATGAATCAAGGACGGTGTGTGTAAAAACAAACCTCTAATAAATGTGTCCGTTCTATAATTTGTGCTGAGTAGTTTTATACTCTATTATCAATAAAACATCTTCTGGAGAAGCAATAAAACATGGATCTGCTCTCAGAGGAGGGTGAAAGATGCCAGACTGAAAAACCCAACTCCACAGCCAATACCTTGCCAGTAGTGCAAAATCCATTCATTCAGTATTGCCACAAAAGCCCTGGAAAAATCAACGGCACTGATGGTGATGGTTTGAGCATATCTTCACTCGTGTCTTTTGTTTGGCAGGGATGAAGCTGCCACATGCAGAACACATCATGAGATCGGGAAGAAGCTATAATTTACACACACACACACACACACACACACACACACACACAAACGCTATTAAGAATATAGAGGAGATATGGCTCTCGAGCTTTTGTGGACCTCATTTTAGTCACCTTTGTTTACATTTATAACTGTAGGCAATGTAGGCTAGTCCGCAATTAAAAGGCTGACCATTTTCTATAATAGTTCCCCTTCAACATACAATCTCGCATACAAATTGAAAGATCTCGGAATGGCTCCGCGACGCGCTGTCCTGCGCGCTTGTCGCGTCGAGGATAGACGTCACCTCATAGCGATCACTGATCAATCAGGATCAGGTGTAACGCAATTATTTTTTTTAACTGAAATCACAAATTGACTTTACAGTGTCTACTTTAATAGCGAAATGATGTAGAGATCATTTGCTACAACTGCTATTCAGAAACCACGGCTTTGATTGAACGACCAGAGTGCGTTATTTTAACAAATTTCATAACCAATACAGTTCATAGCACAAATGCACGTCACCTCTTAGCAGAAATTATGTGGCAGCGAGTCATAATATAGCACGTTATCGCGCGCGGCGCGGTCGGACGCGTCACGTCGTGCGCGTAAAAGCGGTATGCACTGAACAAAGCGCAGACAGGACAGGTCTATTGACGTACAATGCAAGGTCTTTAAGCGAAATATGTGCTATTCGCACTGGTCTCCATCATCAGGTGAATGAATGGACTCCTGTAGCCGATCGCGTGTCAGTGCACATAATGGAAATATAACGGTACGGAGCTCCAGCAATGTCACGGCAGTTCTCAAGCTCAAATCTGTGGCTAGATTTACCCCTTAATCTCCTCAAGCACAGAGCACTGTGAATATGAGTAGAACAACCGACACGCTTACCCCGATTATAAGTCCACCGTGTCGAAGTGTGTGTTTTCCCACAGATGCGCTGGTGTCAGCGGTGATGCCGTGCTCTGCTGCCGCCGAGAGACGCTTCAGATGCCGCATACGCGCGTCCTCGCAGTCGCCATGCTGGAGAGACGGGATTTACACTGACGGGGAACGGCACAGATCCAACACACACCAGATGAGATGAGATGCGCGCTCATGTGCTGCCATCTGCAGAGTTAAGAGGCACAACGCTGTCCGTGCTCATCTGAACTAGCTGTCGGATCAATCAAGTCCTTGCAGATCATTACATTGCATATCACGCAAGTGTCCTGGTTAAAGAGACACAATTAGGTAATTAAAAAAATGTACTTTGTAATATTAGAAAAATAAAAAGTACAACTTTTTAATAGTCTTTTGTTAAAGAAGTAGCATACATTTATTTTTTAAGTGTTGACATATATTTGTATTGTATTTATTGTCCACCAAGGTGTACAATTGTGGCTCACCATAAAATACAGCAGTGGCAAGACAAACAAGACAGACTCATATTACACAGATTTAAAAAATAAAGGCCAAAGATGAATTTCTCCATTAGGAGACAATAAAGGCTAATCCTATACCCTTGTGAAAAAGAAGTTTATTCAAGTGTGCCATTAGTATACTTCTTTTAAACTAAAAATAAGAAAGTAGCCTATACTTTTAGTTTATTTTTCCTGTACTTCTCAGAAGTATATATGTACTTCTCCGAAATATACTTCAAATTACACTTAAGTGTACTTGACTTATACTGAGAGAAAAGCAAGTATATTTGTCCTGTTCTTCTACTCAATCTTTTGATCCAGAAATACTTAAAAGTATAATTAAGTATTCAAAGTATACTTGTATAAGTATTACAGTAAAAAAAAAAAATACTAGTATACCCATAAATTCACTTGCAGTACACATGAGATACATAATTATGAACTAGTTGTGCACTTACTGTTACACTTAAACATATACTTTTATGTACTAAAAGTGGGCCAATTTAGTCCCAAGCGATATTAAAATAGTACACTTACAAGTTTACTACTAGTACATAGTGACATTAGTATACTTACTACATAATGTATACTTAAAAATATACTTGAACATTACTGAACTATACTACATAAAATGAACTTGAAATATACTTCTTTTTCGTAAGGGTATCCTATCCTATTTAAAAATAAAGTCAACATGTTTTAAATATAGCTAAATTGCAATTTACACATAACAGATGTCTATTTAAATTCATGACATACAAGTTTAAATAGAATTGATATTTTGGTTTACTATAAATGCTTGCCAGTTCATTCAGAGCATAGAGCTGTATTGTAACCCTTATTTCTTTACTCCAGTCTCTTCGTCGTGGTTAACGTTAATGAAACACGGGTTACAATGGTGAAAGTTCACATTTCTTCTTTAATCAGAAGCATCGGCATAACAGCATGAACAGCCGCCTAACTCAACTCACTTCACTTCACTTTTTTTTTTTTCTCCCAGCACGCTCTGCCTTAAAGGGGCAGGAGCACAAAATAACCCTTTGACATACATATATTTAACTTTGTATGAAACAAGTAAAGATGTATGAAAATACTCAGATTATTATTGTTTAACATCTGTTTCTTATGAAATAAAATAAAATAAAATAAAATAATGAACTAGCATAGCAAATATAACGGTTACAGTATCATCAGCATAACAGTGAAAGCTAATCTTTTCTAATGATATCTCCTAATGGCAGCATGTTGTCACGGTGTGGTGCAGGCAGAAGGACAGGCTGAGTCCAGATTCAATTAATATAACTTTTACTCACAAAAGGAACAGGCAAGGCTAACGATGAACGGGAGCAAACATCAACATTGACCGACAAAGACTGACTGAATGAGGGAGAACTAAATACAAGCAGGAATCAAGCATAATGAGGTGAGAACAGGTGACACAGATGATCAAGACGAGGAACAGGTGGCCGATGAGGGAGTGAGTTCAGGAGTGGAGACAAGAGGATCCTGGGAAGTGTAGTGATGATGACAAGACAGACTGGTGCAGACGAGCAGAGTGAACAGCAGCGGTCCTAGTACTGAGCCTTGTGGTACCCCATACTGAACTTCTAATCGAATTTCATTTAGAACTACAAACTAATAACAGTCAGATACAGAAAGTATGATTTAAACCATGATTTTAACTTTAACTATATTTCAAATACAATAGAAGTGATTATAAAATTAAGAAGAACCGATAAGTTAATACAAAATTGAAAGCAGAAGTGACCGTTTTCTCCAAACATTGCATCTCTGTGTGACATAAAGACTATTAAAATACTCCTTCCAAAATGTTTTGTCTGCTTTAGATAAACTTTTTATTTTATATTTTTAATAATAGTTATATTTAAAAATGTAACACCAAAATCTGCTTAATTTAATCCTTATATGTGTAACCGACCCTGTTTCCGTCTCTCAGCTCTTCATTCTCCTTTTATGATTTGGGTTTATGGCCACCTGCATATTTGGATTATTACTCTTCATGAGCCTTATGAGTTATTGTTTATGAATGCAGATTCATCTTTCCTTGAGCTGTTCTGCTTTCAATTATTATTACATATTACTGCATGTTTCCTGGTCACTGTTTCTCTTCTCGGTGGATGAAGCCAGTATGATGCCTTAATGTCATTTGGTATTAAAGTTAGTTAAACAGCTTGTAATGTCCATCAATATTCATTAGTTAAATCAACAAGTTGATAATATTGTTATATTTTGTTATATTCTAATTGGTCTGCAGTAAAACACTTGTATATTGACACTAAATTACACTCTATTATCACATAATTTCATGACTTATCTCAATATACTACTGTTCAAAAGTTTGGGGTCGATATTTTTTAACGTTTTTGAAGCAGGTCTCTCCTGTTCAGTGTTTATTTGATCAAAATACAGTAAAATTAGTAATATTGTGACAATTAATAGAAAATGTATTCTACTGACCCCAACTTGAACGGTAATGTATTTTATCCATCCACCCATTTGTTTGGTTATGAGTCTGATATTGTACTTTCTGAAGTCAGCAGGACATTTCCACATTAAATAAATAGATAAGTGAAATCAAACAAACCCTTCAGGCTGATGCACACATGCCAGGATCGACCAGATATACACATTAACGACAGACAACACGAGAGATGCCAAATCTGTGTTCTGATAAAGGAGTAGTCCATGTCTTTCTTTCTTCAGTCGAAAAGAAATTAAGGTTTTCTGATGAAAACATTCCAGGATTTTCTCCATATAATGGACTTCAATGGGGTCCAAACGGTTCAAGGTCCAAAAGACAGTTTCAGTGCAAACTGTTCAAAGGGCTTTAAACGATTCCAGACGATGAATAAGGGTCTTATCAAGCGAAACGGTCGCTCATTTAATAAATAAATAACAAAGTTCAGGTTTTATAAGCTCAAATGCTTCTGTGATGAGCGTCCGTGACTCTCTTGTTCGAACTCGTTCATCAAAATGAACAAATCTTTTCCCGAGTCAACTCGTTAATTTCGTTCGTTGGTGACACGAAAAAAGATTTGTTCATTTTGATAAACAAGTTCGAACAGAAGAGTCACACAGAACAGAGCAAGGCGACCATTTGAGCTTATAAAACTTAAACTTTGTTAATTTTTTAAATGAGCGATCATTTCTCTTGATAAGACCCTTATTCTTTGTCTGGAATCGTTTAAAGCCCTTTGAACAGTTTGCACTGATACTCTCTTTTGGACATTGAACCGTTTGGACCCCATTGAAGTCCATTATATGGAGAAAAATCCTGGAATGTTTTCATCAAAAACCTTAATTTCTTTTCGACTGAAGAAAGAAAGACATGGACATCTTGGATGACATGGGGGTGAGTAAATTATCAGCAAAAGCTTTTTTTAAAGTGAACGACTCCTTTAAGAGTGTTTAGGGCATTTATAAACCAGGTTGATGGAGAGTTCCTGCAACAAGCGTTCTCTATAGTCCTGATGTATGACAAGCAGCTGAGGATGTGCGAGCGTTGAGTGTGTCAGCGTCTTGATAGATGATGTGTGTATGTGTCTTCCCCCACAAACTATTTTCTGGCCAATCAAATCAGTGCAAATTAGAGTGTGAAATTGGCAGCATGTGTTGCCATGACGTCCAGCAGAAATAGCCGTCATGCTGGTGTCCTCATGCTCGTGTGTCCATCTGTCCATCTGTCCTGTCTCTGCTCCTGTGTCCAGTGAGTGACCAAAGACGGGACATGTTTACCCACAGACGCTGACACCAACACTCGGCTACAGATATGCTCTGAATACAGAATCATACAGACTGTGCATCTACAATATTTTAGTTTATAGAGCATGCTATGTATTTTATTTCCGACAAAATATTGCTTCTGAAATGTTCTTGTGCAATGTTACAGGGTAATTTTGACATCTGTTGGTTAAACACACACACACACACACACACACACACACATATATATATATATATATATATATGACAAAAAATACATTTATAGGCTTTTCTTACTAGATTACTTAATGTTAAGTCAAAATTATTTGTTTTTGCTATGATTTTAATTTAGACCGTACCATGTGGTAATTAGTACTTACCTTATCCCATTGAATTGCAATGACACTTAAATGTCAGGGCAAATATACTGTGTAATTAAAACATTTTTTTTTTGTTTTGTTTCTTGATAACAGTTCCTTTCTCTGTAATTACAGTGCAAATAGTGTTGTTTCGTATTGCAACATAGTAAGTAGCGTTTGTTACCCCCTTGTTTTGTGTAGTTACTAACTCCTGCGGGCTGTAAATTAAAGTGGTGCTTGTTACCCCTTTATTACCCCAAACTTAACATATTGTTCCCTTATACCTACACGGAAGTACACTATAATTACAGAAACGTACACCGTAATTTCAGTGTACTTACAGTCTTACACAGTTGTTTGCGGGGCGTAAAATAAAGTGTTACCGGCCTTTTTTTGGAAACCAGCAGATGCAGGGCAGTGTAACATTTAGTAATAATGTTAATAATAAGGGCTGGGCAACGATTAATCGCGATTAATGGTATCCAAAATAAAAGTTTGTGTTTACATAATATATAGTGCCTATAATTATTTTGTATATTAATACACACACATGCATGTTTATATTTAAGAAATATTTGCATGTATATACTGTATATTTATACATAATTGATAAATATGAGTAATATTTATGATTAATAATGGTAAATATTTAAATATTAAAATTGTATAGATTAATAACACATTTTTCTTAAGTATATGCATGCATGTGTGTGAATTTTTATATACAAAATAATCATACACAGTACACACACATACTGTATATTATGTAAACACAAACTTTTTGGATGCGATTAATCGTTGCCCAGCCCTATCTATTGTAGAAATGTACTGTTTGTCGTCAGTTAACCCTCTGGGCTTCTTCGATCAAAAATGACCGAAAACTGTTACGTTTTGAAATGTTTAATTTTTTTGCTTGATCGGATCGGGCTGAAACTTGGTGACTTTTGTTGTATTACCTATATGAACACACAAAAAAATCAAGGAGATGATTCTGATTTGTTAAAGGGTCGTAAAAAAAAAAAGTCACACTTAGCTTCCTCCCGGTCAAAAATGACCGACATAGGAAATGAATGGGAAATACGAAAAAATAGGAAAACTCAGAGAAACTTTTGGTGGTACAAGCTACAGATCAGCAACTGTGCAGAAACAAAGTGTACAGCAATGAAGGGGTGACACTCTAGAACATCAAGAGTGCAAATAAGACCACCCCCCCCCACACACACACACACACGCACACAAACACACACACATACACAGATAAACTGGCAAGACTGCACCAGCAAATTTGTAGAATATGAAAAATAAAATCAATAAATGAGAAAAAAATCTTGCTCAAATGCGCACTCACACACACACACGCACACAGACATGAGAAATCATGTCTAAACCAACAAAAAGAATCAAAAAGCCTTTCTATGTATTTGAATAGGAAGCTATAGGCAGCCTACAGGCTGTACAGGACATTGCACACATGTAACTATTTTTTAAAGCCACTAGGTGGCGCTCTTCTACTTCAATTATTTTTTTTTATTAGCTGACACTCTATTTTGATGTGAAATGTTGTATTTATTGAAAAAAAATTAAAAAACAATATAAAATAAAAATATGTATATTATATCTAATGGAAAAAATAGCTCATAAAAAATTATATAATTAATGTAAAGTATCATAAAAAATTCTAAAAATTCTAAATAATAATCATAAAATATTATAGAACAAAAATATATTTGAATGGTTATCCTGGGAAGAAGTAAAGTAAAATTCCGTCCGTTTTTGACCGGGAGGAAGCTAAGTGTAACCCATTTACGAAGAAGCCCAGAGGGTTAAGTAATTTAATTCATGTCTAATTTCCCAAGAGTGTTGACCTGCTCCATGTAAAATAAAATCGCTTTTATTAAGCGACTGATATGACTGGCGTCTTCATCTCATGTGAATGTACATCACTTTATTTGTCAAAAGTCTTTGTGTAAACCCTTAAAGTCAGTTTAGATGCATCTGCTAAATGTTACACAACTAACTTGTATGTATCTATCACAACCAAACAATCAAACGGCCGTCAAATAAACAAAACCTGCCTGACGGAAAGCAGAACCTGTCGTGTGTGTGCAGACTTTCAAACAGCACTTCATCACACACGTGCAGGACCCGCTTTAGTCCTTTGACAAGAGCTGTAACATGCTCTTTATTTATTAAGTGGGCATACGGTATGTTTGGTTTGGAAAATTAAAACACACATAAACTGCACTGCAATGAGTGTGAGTGTAGGACGCACTTTATTTAGGTGCCAAACAAACAAACAAAAGAGTGTCACCATTCAGCCATTCAGAACAGTTGAGCACATGTCCACATTAAAAAAATATAAAATCAATACTGACTCAGAGCTCTCTATTCAAACACATACACTCAGACACACACACATCCATCCATCTCCGTAATCTCTACATGTTCAGCCTTGAGATCGAACTCTAGCCCAGCCAGGAGGGAGCCAACCTCTGTACAAATGCATACACCGTAAACCAATAACCGTCGTCATCATCAATGAGCCGTTCAACCACAGAGGACTGAGAGAATGAGTGCAGAAAGACAACTAGATGAGAAAGGGGTCGTGTCCTACAGTGCCATATGTGATTCTTGGAGTGAAAACGGAGTTTCACTAAATTAGGAAATGTTGAGTGTGTCCAGATTTCCCCCATCCGCATGACCCGTCCAATCGGTGACCATTCAACTCTGAGAGTTTACATTCCTGCTCGGAAAAGTGCGAAAGGAAGTCTCTTGAAGTTGGATATCTAGTTTGGAAACTCACGATGCGGTCAGCAGGATTTACACACATAAACATTCAACATTTAGGCAAATAAAATGCATCGAGGAGACGTGATAAAACATATAAAACAAGATAAATGACTCTCTCTGTTGATAAACATAGTGTTGCAGAGCATAGTGTGTTTTTCCCCAGTTTGATTGCTAAAAAAAAGCTTTTGTTTACAATTTAGCAAAGCTGACAGTCGAGTTGTGCGTTTCCTTGTGTCATCTTCTGTACATCTGACTTTGAATGGAAGACAACAGCTCTATTCCAAAAAACACCGAAACAACCTCGTCAGTGACGGGTTTGGACATCTCTACGCAGACTTTAGATTTCACAGAGAACAACATTCCAATCAACCAATCAGATTTGAGGGACAGGCTTAGAGTTCATGTCAAGTTTAGGTTCACAACTACTCTACGTCAATGCTCTTCATTTCCTATTTCCCTCTGATTTTAGGGATAAGTTATGGTTTGGTTTAGGGATAGGGTTAAGACTAAATGGTCAGACAAGAATGTTGTTCCAGGATCAATAAAATATGCAAAATCATAGTGATCGTATTAACATTAAGGGAAAAGATCTTTTTCCGATCAGAAAGCAATGCAAGAAACTTAGCTTAGCATATCGTTACCTTTGGTGGCCTTATTGTTTTCAGACTGAGGAGCCACTTTGACATGTGCATGTGGATAAACTTGTTTAACTTCATTTAAAAAAACAAATAATCTGCAAAATATTCGAATACAGGATTTCTGAAAAACGTGTTTGGCATTAGCATGTTGCTAAGCTAATAACATGATGCTCTACTTGCGTGTGCAATAAAAAAAAACATAGAACACACATTGCAAAAAAATAGTCAAAAGTATATTTTGAATCTCATTCACTGTCTTGGATGATTTGTTTTTTCATACAGAAGAACTCATTCGCAATGCATTCTGGTAATGCAAGGGAATCATGACGGAAAGATCATATTTACGAGTTGAACGCACATGAGTATGTTCTCAATATGCCAAAGCATTGCCGTGATACAGCCTCAGTCGGATCTGAAGATGATGCGATTCGATTTTGTTGAAAATCAGACAAACGGTCAAGGAGGAGTTCGAAAAAGTAGGTTTTTATAGAAAATCAAAAATGGTAAAATTGGCTTCTATGTTCTCAACATTACCCCCCAAAAAACAAACATTTTAAGCTTTATTTATTTATTAAATTTCTTTACATTAGGCTAAATGAATCAAAAGTCATATCAGCGGTATTTTTGGAAATTTCATTTCAAGTTTTGTTCACAAGGTGGCGCTGCCCAAAATCTTTGAGTACTTTCAGAGCATGGTGGCGAAGACGCGTACCAAATTTCATAACGATACACCGATGCTTTCGTAAAATATTTTTAGGATTTTATGACAAAATTCAAAATGGCCGATATGGGAAAATTGGCCAGAGCACCGAATCTAAAGAGACCAATTTTGTGATTTTTATGGTGTGTTCAAGTTATGGCGGACAGATCGTATCTACGAGCTGAACGCACGAGTGCATTTTTTTGTTTTTCGTTTTGAAAGTTTAAAAACCTTGAGGAGTTACTGAAGAGAAGACCATCTTGCTGAACCTCAAATTTAAATTGAACCTCCAGATGTCATAAACATGTCTTCCCAGGAGGACACACCATTAAGTACAAAGTATACTTCAGTTTTATGTACATTTGCGTACCGCTGAACGCACAGCCTCTGAAAGTATACTCCATTCGCTAGCGGCTAGCGTATGGTTTCCTATTTCTCTCCAGAAGTTTTGACATGTAAAAATATCCTTGTTCTCTATTGCTGTTGTCATCTCCAGTAGTTTCGTTTTTATTTATTTTTAACAGTGGGCCAGGTCAATGTGGAAAAACTAATTAGCGCAAAGGAATTAAGGGAGCAAGAAAAGGTACGAATGTACACTGCTGATAATGAAATCTACGACACTACGAAACTGTGAAGAATACTTTGGCTTAAACTCGGCATCCAACCAGGTTTTGGAACAAAGCTGAAGTCACCTGACTGAGAAACGGACGATTTTTAATCAATGTACAAAAAGAAAGTCATTATTAAATCATCATATGGCTATAAGAAGCATATGAGCTAAGAACCCTCTTGTCCTCACTCTCTCTCTCTCGCTTTCTGACCTGGTGACAAATTCAAATAAAATCATCAATACCATAAGACCAAGAACATAAAAGTCCAACTCATCTCCACTGAAGGATCCTGCTCCGACAGGACACGTGAAACCTAAGGCAAGTGCTCTTCCTGTGGTTGAGTCAGTCAGAATTTAAAGTGACAAAATAATCCTCAGAGTCTGTAGATAGAGAAACCGTCGACACTAGAAGGTCTATCAAAGCTACTGTAATGTGAGTGTTTGTGTGTTGGTGGGTCATTGTATATTGCAGGACGAGCAGCACGGGTCGTCTTTATCCGGCTGTGCCGCGTAGTCCATCTGCCGAACGATCTCGGCAAAGAGTTCGTCCACCATAGTCTTGCTCTTGGCGGAGGTCTCGATGAAGGGACAGCCCCACTCCTCCGCCAGCGCCTGGCCCTCCATCACAGACACCTCCCGCTCGCTCTCCAGATCCACCTTATTCCCCACCAGGATCACCGGGACCTTCTCATACCTGCAGAACACACACACACACAAACACATGGTCTCAGTCAGGACGCCCACACAAACCTTGTGAAAAACCTGCCTCATTTTAAAAGTACATCAATTCCATACTTCAACAGAATCATTCGACAAAAGATTATTGAAACAATGATTTGAGATGTACTTTAAAATGAAACTTTTAAAGGAGTAGTTCACTTTTGAAAAAACTTTTGCTGATAATTTACTCACCCCCATGTCATCCAAGATGTCCATGTCTTTCTTTTCTCAGTCGAAAAGAAATTTAGGTTTTTGATGAAAACATTCCAGGATTTTTCTCCATATAATGGACTTCAATGGGAACCAAACGGTTCAAGGTCCAAATGAGAGTTTCAGTGCAGCTTCAAATGTCTTTAAACGACACCAGACGATGAATAAGGGTCTTATCATGCGAAACGATCGCTTATTTCAAAGCTTATTCCAAAAACGTAACTTTTCTAAGGACAAATGCTAGCCTTGCTCTATTCTGTGAGGCGCGTTTGTAACTTCACGTAAAACGTAATTACGTTCAAAAGGTCACGGGCGACGTAGCCGAAAGTACAGAGTCAGTGTTCACAAGTTGAACGCATAGGTTGAACGTGCAAACTAATATAAACGCCGTTTACAAAAAAAGGAATTAAAAGGAAAAACAACGATGTCGGACGATTTTGATTCTGTACTTCCGGCTACGTCGCCCGTGACCTTTTGAACGTAATTACGTGTTACGTGACGTTACAAACGCGCCTCACAGAATAGAGCAAGGCACGTTTCGCATGATAAGACCCTAATTCATCGTCTGGTGTCGTAAAGACATTTGAAGCTGCACTGAAACTGTCTTTTGGACCTTGGACCGTTTGGTTCCCATTGAAGTCCATTATATGGAGAAAATCCTGGAATGTTTTCATCAAAAACCTTAATTTCTTTTCGACTGAAGAAAGAAAGACATGGACATCTTGGATGACATGGGGGTGAGTAAATTATCAACAAAAGTTTTTTCAAAAGCGAACTAATCCTTTAATTTGACATCATAGAGTGGTGCAGGTGTGACAGCATTTCAGCACATTTGGTTCAAGTCAATGGGTTTTTTGGTTAACTGGCTGAAATAAGGTGTGTTGTGAACACAAGCTCCTATTCAACAACATATTACCACACTCGTGATTGGGCTGTTACGTGTCTTGAAAAAGGCGGTTGCTAACAAGTGGTTCTGGGGAAATGTCGTTAGATAATAACTGAGAGAGCTAGTGATGGTGGCGTTACATTGGTGGGACCGCGGTGGACTCTTTTCTTCTGGCGACTGCATCTAGGCTTTAAAACTCATTGAAGTTGTGTTCCTCTGTGATAATAAATGGTAAATGGACTGTATTTGTACAGCGCTTTCACCGACCCAATGGCCACCAAAGCGCTTTACATTTTGCCTCACATTCACCCATTCATACAGAGATGGCGGTGTCAGCCATTAGGTGTCTTGCCCATGGACACCTCGACACTTGGTCAGGTGGAACCGGGGATTGAACCACCAACCTCGTGGTTTGTAGCCTCCTGAAAATCTATAGGGTTTTTGTCAAGGTAACCAGTGTGATGCGAACAGCCAAACCAAATGACGTCATAATCGCACCACTCTATTGCAAAGTGTACCTTTTAAAAGTGCCGTTAAGCGTGTTAACTCGGCCACAAAGCACTTGCTCACCCTTCTGATGTGAAGCTGTAGCACTTGATCTCCTAGTGGGGTAACTCTGAATGTTTTTCATGTTTTACACTTTTTATATCCAATGAATTCACATGACTTTTCTAGTTCACTCTCAGAGAAAAGGTTCAGTGTGATTATATATAGAACTCTAGGGTTCTCGACTCACTTTTAAAGAAGCCTCTATGCCAAAAACGTTCCATACAAGGAGAACCGTCTTAAATGATTGTATAATACTTTCAATTTAAACAGGATATTTTGATTTTTCCTAGAGATAAAGTTTGTTTACGAGCTGCTAACAAAATGATGGGAACACATAAAGGGTTCTATTTATGAAACGTCTGGTGGAAAGATTACATTTAGAAACTTTTCTTCCAAGAGGTTTTTAATGTTTATTATGTTGTACTCAAACAACTATTTCTACCCAGTAAAATATTAGGCTATAGCACTTGACAAAATTCATAAATTGGTTTCTTTTTGACTGTGAAACAGATAAATAAATGCCTTAAGATTTTATTATTTTCCATGACTTTTCCAGACCTATAAATCACACTTCTGAAATTCCCTCATTCCAGGTTGTTCAAGATCCTGGTTCTTACATAGAACTGACAGTTGTTAAAGGAGTAGTTCACTAAAAAAAACTTTTGCTGATGATTTACTCACCCTCATGTCATCCAAGATGTCCATGGCTTTCTTTCTTCAGTGGAAAAGAAATTAAGGTTTTTGATGAAAACATTCCAGAATTTTCTCCATATAATGGACTTCAATGGGAACCAAATGGTTCAAGGTCCAAAAGACAGTCTCAGTGCAAACTGTTCAAAGGGCTTTAAATGATTTCAGACGATGAATAAGGGTCTTATCAAGGACCCTTCGAGTCATGACTCGAAAAAAGATTCGTTCATTTTCATGACTGGGTTCGAACAGGAGAGTCACGAACGCGCATCACAGAACAGAGCAAGGCGAACATAAAGCTGAGCTTTAAGACTTAAAACTTTTTTATTTATTTTTTAAATGAGCGATCGTTTCGCTTGATAAGACCCTTATTCATCGTCTGGTGTCCTGGAATATTTTCAGCAAAAACCTTGACATCTTGACATGGAAGACATGGACATCTTGGATGACATGGTGGTGAGTAAATTATCAGCAAAAGTTTTTTTTAACCCCTTAACTGTCACCGTCCCGGTACCGGGACGCCTAACTTTACTTCACTATATTTCTATTAAATCCTAATCTAATTATGACAAATTATATATTGTTGGAAAGGTCTAAGACTTCTAAATAGATATTCTACCCCTGTTTTGTTTTAAAAATTATGTAGGAAGAGTAATTGATGAATTTATGACAAGAGTGCACCTCAAAAAATCTGCATCATAACAGAAGTTTTGACCTTTGTCACAAAAAGTCGATGAACCCACTTTTAATCATTGAAACTTCTGTTTTTATGCTAAAAGTTCATAATAAACATATAATCTAGTATTTTTCAATAAAAAATAAAAAATTATAGTACAGTATTTTTCTCTAAAAATGATCATATTTATATTTATTATCCTCTAAAATATAATATTATTTTTTTATCGCCTTTTTTATTATATCACATATTTTAGTAGTTATCATAAATTAGGTATCATTTGAAAGCTTAAACTCAGAATTCATCATGTGAAAACTGTTTTATAATTGAAAGTTGGGTTACCATAGAAACGGTACTTATTTTATCAGGCTCCTCCCCTTTTGGGCATCATTATATTTCATAATTTATGATCAAAACCTTTTCTAATCTTGACAAAACTGATATTGTCAGAAAGGTCAGAGTCTCGAGGTTCCAAATTTTGTGACAGAATTGATATTTGGACAGAAATGTATTAATTTGTTAAGGCAGAATCTATACAACTAAATTCAATGGAATTCAATGGCACCCGGTGGCTATTTTTGGTACTACGCCTAAACAAAATCTCATGGGAACTTCAATTATATCAACTGATATCAACTTCAAATTTGGAACATAACTTGATAAGATGTATGGCTTTGATTTTATAGAAATTTTAGAGTAAAAAATATTTTATAAAATATATATTTTATATAAAATAAAAAATATATAGTACAGTATATTTAATTTACTGTAAATTTAAACTTCCATAACTTTTTCATTTTTTCACTTCAGCAATAATCTGCTGAGTGTTTTCTTTAAAACAAGACCAAACTTGGGTATATATTCCAAAGCATTCTTAAATTACAACCATTTAAGTTTGAATAGTGCATTTTAACCCCCATTCTCAAAAAGGGGGGTGACAGCTAAGGGGAATGAACTACTCCTTTTAGGGAACAAAAACAAATTAAATACGATTTAAGCATACATCTTGACTAAAGCTGTTTCTTAAACCACATTTTGTATAACTTTAAATCATTTTAGAAAAATATTTAGACTCATAAAAAATAAATATTCGAGTTGATAGTTGTAGTTGATCAAATACAAATCAATGACAATGCATGTAGTTATATCAGAGTTGTAGTTCGCGTGCTTGGGATTTATCATAGATTCACGGCATTTACATTTCATTTTTTTTTTACTTTTCAAACAACTATTACAGATCAAATATTCGACTACGCGTTTAGTGGGTTTCAGACCCCTGAATAAGAGACGCCACGCTCGTGTTTTTAATAGTTTATGGACATTTTGATTCAATCGGAGTGAAATCGTGATGAATCGGAAAGTATAACAGTGTAAAGTAATAGGGTTTGAAAATCTGAATTTATTTGTTTACCATGCGCACACTAACTATCCTGCCATCACTTCTATTCGTTGTTGTAAAAAGCAGAAATAATATATATATCTATTCTGATTAGAAGACGACGAGCACATGAAGCTTTGTGCTGTGCTGCTTATATTTAACAAGCCGTAAAATGCCCCAAAGCAAGGCGTCTGTGGATAAAAGTCTAGAGCCAAGACTCCTGGGACGCTGTCCCGCTCCACTTCACAGACGACGAGTGGAAGGAGAACTTCAGATTGGCACGACAGCCATTAATGACATTTTACCCAACAACAACAGCCTCGTCATCGCGCCATTTTACACCATTGCACGTGCGCAGTACTTTCCAGTTTTGGCTCAATCCGATCAAGTGTTTACATGTCCTACCAAATGGATTATACAAGTTTTAAACCAGCCCTGCTTTAACCCGAATTAAATTTCAATTGTATTTGGTAAATTCGTTCCGACTGGCGTTGTTACATGTGACTGTGCAACTAGTGTGATAACAAACAGATCATTGGGGTGATGGATCTATGTTAACGCAGCTATGACGCAATGAATTTACATTTACATAAATGTGCGTCTAATATTGTTACCATGTTTAATAACGACAATAAGACGTACAGGGCCAAACTGCATATTATTATTATAGTACTACAATCTCAACTGTATCAGAATCCATCATTAGTCTTTTTTATTCTCCTCAGGGCAGACATTATAAAATACCTCCAGGAACTGCATTGTTCAGCTTTCCCCTTTAGGCAAACGAACGTCTTTACCCACAACCACTAACGGCCCCTGGCTCGAGGAGGGTGGGGTTACAGAAGCCACACCCCTTACACACACTCCCTGTTATTAGCAAACCACTAATGGCATCACAGTCTCAAAGTGGCAGCCTATTTGGCCCTTGATTCTCACCATTTGTGGGCGGCGTGACCAAAAAACAGGGGTCACGTGACGTCTCTACGGACATGAGAACCATTTTTAAATGATTTGAAGAAAATGTGTGTTGCTGGCCACCGCAAATCTCGGGTGTTGAGGGCAGTATCCATTATCCAGGGCGTTACATATACCAGCCCAAGTCAAAAAAGCCAGCCTTCAAATCTCCACAATGTTACGGTCTAGAAATATCATGCTGGTTTTATTATCCAGCAAGCAGATTAAAGCACACTTCACTTCTCATCAACAAGCTGCCTTATCTGAAGTATCCCTGAAGTTTGTAGTTCGTGCGGGACGAGTTCTCCTGGTTTAGGTGTTCGTTGAGCAATAATAACTTGCTTTTCAGAATCATTAGTGTTTCATATTTAAAGGGCACTAAACCCTCTTTCTGTTCACGCTCTTGTCCAGCGCTGTGACACAGACATCTCTTATTCCCGCTATCTCTACGTCTCATTATGCATCGCTTCTACTGTGTTAAACATTCATGCCATTTAATTATTCAATATTTTCTGAGAGGGATCTGCGTGATTGCAGATCTATGTTATTATTTGCGTGGGAATGTGTGCCAGAGATGATGTTGTTTGCAGGTCGGTATAAATATATTCTGGTTCAGGGTGACTGTGAGACTGTGGGAGTGTGAGTTGCATGAGCATTTCCAGCCAATCCTTTTATTGGGGGCCAAGCATTGAAAGTGCGTAGGATTGTGTTATTCTTCTTCTTCCGCTCGGGGGAGTCTATGGCAGCCCAGAGAATCACAAGTTGTGAAATTTGGCACACTTGTAGAGGACTGTCACCATAGCAATTTATGAGTGTCCAACTCAATTTCTCTAGCGCCACCAACTGTCCAAAGTATCACTCACATTTATGCCAATAACTTGAACCGTAAGGGCTAGAAACAAAACGTTCACATTTTTTCGAACTCGTCCTCTGATTGTCACGACAATTTAATGCCAACAAAAGTTTATTGAATTCAAGTTGGTTATTCAAATAACGCACAAACGAATTCGACGAAGAACACGCCAAAATGGATCCCCGCAACGCTTTAGCAAATAAAGACAACACTTGGGCTATGGACTATGGAGTCGCGGACTCGTGGCCTTAAATTGCTCGTGCTCGCGCATTTCGGAGCTCAGAAATGTGTTCGCGGGCACCGCCTTTGTGCCCTCGATCGCACCCTCCACATGAGTTGCCTACCCAGGAATCATTGCGAACGGCCAATCAGATAAATGACAGTTTAGTGGCTGTTGGACATTCAGTGGGATGATGTCATCAAGCCTGTCCCAAAATACACCCCCCTTAGGTCTGCACTTCCTGACGACGCCACCAAGTGTGAACTGGAAGGTGGTCAACAAGGCCGGAGTATGACATTTGGGATCCAGCCTTGGAGAGTGTTATGACAACCATGACCTGAGAGTACCTGCTCAGTTTCGCCGCAGTGCCACCTAGTGGTTAAGAAATATAGAAAATAGATTGTATTGCTTATAACTACTGAACGGTTTGGACAAAAAACACAAAACTGGTCTCTTTAGATTCGGTGCAGCATGCCGAGTCGAACGATACCCAATTGTCCCATATCGGGCATTTTGGGCATCAGCGATTTTCGATTTTGAACAAACTGGAGTAACGTTTATGAAACTCGGTATCTTCGGCACCATGCTCTGAAGGTACTTAAAAAGTTGAGACAGCATCATCTTGTGGTCAAGAGTATAAAAGTAATATAATCAAAACCATCTTGTGGTTTTGATTATTAGCCTATTCTAACTGTGACTGGTCTTAATAGATTTTTTTTTTTTTTTTAATGGATTTTGTCTCAATAGACGAAACCATTTTTCGAATACCGCATCAACAAAGTTGATGGCAAGATGCCAAAATGGCTCTGAAATTCAGCAATTCTTTGGCATATTGACACCAAAGTGTGTGTCATTGTCCCCTCACTCTGACCACACCACATCAACTTGGTCACAGCACCACCTATTTTTTAAAGTGATAAACTATTAAATCATACTATTAACTGAATGTGATTTTTCAGGCATTTTGCCAGAAATAATCTTAATATTTCTTAATTTTCTCATTGTTGCAGTTGGTCTGACACTCCCTGCCATGAAGTCATTGTCATTAGCTTCAGCTATATTTATTATTGTCTTTTCTTCACTGACCGTCCCTGATAAATAAAGTTCCTAGTGTCAATGGATTGGTTCTGGATTTTTTTTCAATTGGGGTACCAACCCTAAAAAATACTAATAACATCCAGAAATAATTTACTGAGGATGTAAAAGGAAAATTCCTATTGTTTCCATGTAATCTTAATTGATCCTTAGGGAATTCTTATATGAAATATAAAAAGAATATGAATAAAAAAATGATTCGTAAGTAACAGCTCTAGAAGCAAGATAGAGAAAACCCATTTTATCTTTCCAAAATGCATTTGTAAATAAATACAAAATAAAGTTTTTACATTGCATTTCAGAACATACACCCAAAGAAACACTAAAGTGAATTTCATATTTTCAGAAAAATATAAAATAAATAAACAAAAATAGCATTTTCAGGGTGTTTCTCAAATGCCTTTCTGACTTACAGTTGTTCTCCACTTATTATTAGGGGAGGGATTTTCTCACTCTAGAAGGGATCTGATTGGACAAATACAGATTACGCCCCTGGGTGCAAGATGAATCATCAGTGTGTTATCCTCTTTTGCCAGAAGTTAAAAGTGTGTATCTGCTAAAAATCTGCTCAAATTGTCAACTCTTCTTAGTACAAGTGCATTCCTCAAAACGCACATACATGAACTAAACAACATAACACTGCTATTTCAATGCACCATGCACCAATTTGTTTGCATATTCATCAATTAATCATTATAATGTTTGCTAAACACACAAGACCAGCAGCATATAGCCTATGATTTGTTCCTTTGTGAAGTGCATGGCATCACTTATACATGAATCTTTCATGCAGACAGCACTTGGATCAAAACACATCAAGGCTTGAGCAACAGGCCTGTGAAGGCCCAACAACACTCCAGAAGAGATCACACTATACCATTACACATGCATGCAACTCGTTACATATTTTAATGTAATACGCACTTTAATATAATGTGCATGTCATCAATAACAAAGGCCTCATATCTGACCTCTTGACTCGGATGATCTGGTCTCTCATGGGTTTGATGTCCTGAAAGCTCTGCTGGTTCACCAGACTGTAGACCAGGATGAAGCCCTGTCCGTTTTTGATGTACAGGTCCCGCATGGACGCGAACTGCTCCGTGCCTGCCGTGTCCAGGATCTCCAGGACCGACGGAGACGAGTCCACCTCGATCTCCTTACGGTAGAAATCCTCGATGGTCGGGTCGTACTTCTCAATAAACGTCCCGGTGACGAACTGCACGGTGAGGGCGGATTTACCGACCCCGCCGCTCCCGAGGACCACCACTTTATACTCGCGCATCTCTGAACAGATAGAACGATCCAAATGAACTCACACGACGGCACTGGTGTTCATGTTTAGGGCGTTTAAACGAGCCTTAAGCTTCCCGCAGCAGCGCTTCATGATCACGGGCATCGTTCACCACGGGGGACGCTGGAATACGGGCTATCAGCAATAACTTGTGCTTTTCATCTGCTCAGCTCACCATCCTATAGAAGTAAACGAAGACCGCATGGAGAAACTCAGCTGACTGCCTCCGGTCTCGGCGGATTGAAACACGGTCCGTTAGAATCCGTTCATTTGGGGCGCATATTCGTTTTTCCCGTCTGTGTCTGCTCTCTCCGGTCTTCATTAATACTCTAACACAGCGCCATGCTCACGGGTGGGGATCCCGAGCCTCCAACGCGCCGCTCTTGTGAGGTCCGACTCGTGGAGGCGAGTCGGTTCTTTCGAGCGACGAACCAGTTCAAGAACGACTCACCGATTCGTTTACACTATGACGTAATTAGGTCAGCTCCTTCTTGAATTTTTCATTGTTTTTGCATTTTTAATTCACAAGAGCACATTTCTCAACAATATGATGTCCCACACTGTAAAATCTCTACAAATAATAACGCAAATTTGTTTAAGATCTTAACAGATTGAGAGTTTCTTTTTTTAATCTCTTTGTACTTTGCTTTTCTTCATAATAAATAACAATAATAATAATATTAAAATATATTTAGGGCTAGCCACTGCGTGATATAGTTTACACATCTCTTAATTTTAGTATTTATTTCCAATCATAGGCTATTCATTAGTTTTTGGGAGAAAAACTAATATCCATCTCCTTTCCTAAAATGTATTTAAAGTTTTCACAGAGAAAAAAAAGTATAAGCTATTCTAATATTTCTGACAGTAACACTGTTAAACTTACTGCAAAATTTTATTTTTTGCATTGCCATTTTTATTCACAATTAACACTAACTAGATTTCATGTTTTTCTTCCTGAAAATTTCCTGTTAATCACCTAAACTCATACATAAGAATATCACACACACACACACACACACACACACACAATACATCTCTTGGCTGAAAAGTTCATTGCTAGGAGGATTGATTCAGCCCAATTGTGAAGGAATCGTCAGACTGGTTGTGAACATAGACGGTATAAGAAAGGTTGTGAACTGGTTTAAATGAATCATTTAGAGGATCCGACTCTATAGAACGATTCGCTCGTGAACCAGACCTTCCCACGCCTCTTCCAGCTCGGCTTCCGTACATACGGCGAAGACAGACGGCTCTCTTCGGTTAACGGACCCGTGTATGGCGCTCGGAATGTTCCATTCGGCGACGAGACTGACAAGCAAGACAGATAACACACGTGAATACGTGCGTGTACGTCTCCATTTGTTTTATATGGAGACGTACACGCAAATATCACGTCACGTAAACGCGTCAATAACGTGTAGCTGTTGATCTATGCAGACGTCACGGCGGCGTCACGTTAAAAGTTTAACGTGTGGATTACGTCTGCACGTCTGCACGTCTGCCCGTCTGCACGTCTGCCCGTCTGAACGTCTGCCCGTCTGCCCGTCTGCACGTCTGCCCGTCTGCACGTCTGAACGTCTGCACGTCTGCCACAATCTAAGTTTACAAACAAGACTTATTTTGGCACATTTTATGTAGGACTATGATACACTTATTTTTATAATGCTGAATGTCTGGTAATGTACCATACATTTGGTATCCCAATGATGTAACTTTTTAATAAAAGTCTATGGCATGTATTTTGATTATTCGATCTTCGGAGATAAAAAAATAAAATGGGCTAAAAAAAAATTCAGAAAAACTGAGTCTTATCATTATATATTAGTGTGTTTCAGATGTGTTAATGCTCTGCAGCAAGCCAGCAACAGTCTGCATGCCTCAAGTTCACTCATGCTGCATCCAGCATTAATTAACCAGAAACCATTTTAGAGTTTATTGGATTTTAAACTAAAATTAGTTAGCCTGTGATTGCTTGGATCAGGCTACTGCTATTCTTATTCTGAACAAGTAATTAATCATTCAAATTAAAAAATTTTTAACATAAATGTACTATTTAATAGAGCTACAACACTAAAGTTTTTATAAAGCCTATAAATGTCGTCTAGTCATACTACACATTTTTTGCTACCGTTGAGAGCATACAAAAATCTCGCCCAAGTCAGGCAAAACAGTTGACAGCCCATATAAATACAGTAAGAGGAGCAAACACTGCATAGTTTTCACCAGCAGGAAAAACAAACACTTTAAACAGAATAAGATGAGATGAACACTTTAATCAGTAGGTGGCAGCAGAGCAGCATTTATTTGACCATCTCCACTTTCTAAATAGGAAATTACTGACCCACAAAACAGTTTGGATTCACTCTTTCCATTTATGACAAACAAAACTATTTTATTTAAAGTGTGAATAGATTATAAAGAAAGAGAACAAAGTATGCTCTTTTTATTTAGCGACTGATGGAACTCCTGCGAAAACTCCTCTGATAATAAATAAATTGTCTATAGCCGACAATCAAACATTTAGGCTGTGTAAACCTCACACTGCTGGTTATAGCTATCCTGAAAATTGACATTAACTGTAAACTTATTCCTCAAATCTAGTTGTAATATTGCTCAATGATCAAAAAGGATGTTGATTCAGGAACATTGTACTTCATGAAATCATGTTCATCCATTCACTAAATCCCTTTGCACATACTGCCTTCAATGTCATTTTACAGTTTTTCTCAGTCACTTTGGTAGTTTCTTGAATCATCCTTAAGTTTTGCAAACCAGTAAATGCATTTCTCAAAATAATTAATAGCAGTCCATGGATTGCCTGCAAAAGCCTGTACCTCCTCAAATCCTTAGTTCATCTCTCAAAAGTGGTATTTATGTCAATGAACATATCAGTACCATTGAATAGTCCTTGTGTATTTGCTCACAAACAAGATATTCAAAATGCTTATTGATGTTGTCGATATGAAATTGTACTTGTTCAGTATTTCCCAGATATCCAGATGAAGCTTCATGAGATGCACCTCTGAGCTACTTCAGAGAACTGGTTGATCATTGGTTGATTTAATGCTTTACATTCCCCTTCATTGGTGAAATGCAAAATTTATAGCCAAGAAATGCTTGCTGTCATTAAAACATTAAAATGTAGCATGTCATTGGAACCAATAACGGCATATATATTTAGGCTAGCTATATTTCAATTTATAACACAGTCACTTTAAATTCACATAATGTTTAACTGGGTAACATAATTAGGAAAATATCAACCCGCAATATATGAAAATTAACTGCCAATTGAGACCAAAAGTTGAGAAAAAAATACCAAGTAAAAAACACATTTGTAAATATTTATTTTAATATTTCTGTAATGAGCAGTCTTTAGCTTTTGAAAAAATCATTAGAAAACCAGAATGCCTGTAAATAAACTATATGGTAAAGACATTTCACACAATAAAAAAAAAATTGTTCCAAACATCACCACAGCAGAACAATTGCAATTGTCTTAAAGGAGTAGTTCTGTGGATATTAAATATATAGCCTCTTTTTTGTTTGTTTTTTTTGAAAGAATAGTTTGAACATTAACCAGTAATGTCAATAGAACAGTGCCTTGCCGCCATCTACTGGCGGTTTTATATTTATAATTAGTAGTTTCATATTTGTTTGGCCGAGCTCCTTTATTTCGGGATTTAGGCTACAACTCGTTATAACGATTTTTTTATAACATAGAATTTCAGAATATAATTCCACCCACTGCCACTCTACTATATCTATATTTTTTGTATTATTATTAGCCTGTATAGCCTATTCCCATGCTCGTGCATAATTGATACAAAACGAAATTCACTTTAAAGAAAGTCTTTCTACAAAACAAAACTTAATGAAGTGGTCAACATCATGTCTGACCCACTTGTCTCCCGTCATATCGCATCCTATATGTTGCTCTTACTCATGCTGTTCACTGTTCATAATCAACATAAATGAAAATTAAATAACAAAAGCCTATTGTAATATTTAGACAAATGTGAAACTGAGCGGATATTGAGCGGACAGTCACGTGAAAAGTAACTTGAAACTTGTTTTTAAATGGGAAGCACGTCTTGGTTCACCCTCCGCCTGTCAGAAAGATAGGCTATGCTATAGGATATGCTTTATTACACAAAACGAAACATTGAAACATTATTATATTTATAATGCTGTGGTCTAGTTTGTATGATGGACTATCTACTTCAGTAATAATAGGCCGGTGAGAAGTCTGTTTCTCAGATCATAATAAAAAAATACTTGGCCCCCTTATATGAAAACGAAATGAGCTAGGCTACAACATAGTCCTAACAACGATAGAAACCCACAACTTAAGACGGATCGCCATTCAGTCATTGGCTGAATAATAATAATTAAAAAAAAGCTGAATGGAGATAGCCTAGCTCCAGACGTTAAGACGTGCAGTCGTTAAGACGGGCAGACGTTAAGACGGGCAGACGTCCAGAAAGGCAGTCGTTAAAACGTACAGACGTTCTCCACACGCACGTTAACACGTCTTTAAGCTTGGCTAGGAATCGAATGACACAAAGCGAGCGCCATACCGTGAGGTGCCCAATAGCCGCACGGCTTCCTGAAACCGCGCCCACAACACCGCACAGACCAAAGCTGAGTTTCCGCTTGAGTCAAAACTAGCCGGTTGTCGCAGACGTAAGGAAACACTGGGCGAAGAGCTCCAAAAGTGGAGGCTGCGCGCGCACTCTACCAAGCGCTGAGCCTGGGCGAGAATGCGTGGATGTTGTTGCTATGGAAACTCGCAGTATATAATGAACACGTATAGGTGGATAATACAGGTTTCACTGACATTCAGTGTTAGTAGGCTAATGATTATGTTATCTGTAATAGATAATCCAGATTCAAATAATTAAGTAGGCGATTTATAGAAAATGATACGATCAATAAGTTATAACATCATTTATTTTTTATTACTTTAACTAATAAAATAGTTCACTTTGAAATTAATTTTTGATATGTCAAAAAATGAATTAGCTTAGCTTACCTCAAGGGCATTCAAGATGTAGGTGTCTTTGTTTCCACAGTATTTTGAAATATTTTTCTTGTCTGTCAGTCATATAATGGAGGTCTATGGTCACCACCACCTCAAAGATCATGCACAGAGAAGTCCACATTAAACATGATTTAATGACTCGTAAATGTAAGTACACATTGATGGCCTAAGACACGAAACGAGTGGTTTGAGTGAGAAAACGAACAGTATTTATATCATTTTTACCTCGTGTAATCACAGCCATGTCCAACTGATCTGATGCCACGGGCGCTTCGGTCTGCGCAAATAGAAGTGATCACTCATTGTTTACACAGAGATTTCGGAAGTTTTACCTTTCACTGTGAAGATCTAAACAT